TTGCATACTTGGTCGTTTTTTCATATATTGATTAATTTGACCTTCTGGTTTTTTACTTTAATATATATAAATACAATTCAATCTTTGAATACTTTATAAATTAAAGTTCCAAGCGTGGGACCTTGGACTTTTTGGAAATTAGGTGCTTATCGTCATTCACCTGTAGATGTATATCCAACTACACTGTTGACGTTTATCACCCTTTAAATATGGAGTTGAATGAATTTTGCCTACTTGTTTGTTCTAGACTAGTTGATGCAGGGGATTAGCGTTATCGCTAATTTCTTTCATTGTTTGGTCTCTTACGGGAGGGTTATCATTCAAACTCATGTTAACTATTTCAAATATACCGCCCGTAAATTAGTGGGTTGGTACTATTAACCTTGCTGTTCTGTCGAATAATTTTCGACCTCAAGGCTGGCTGTCTGTTTCATGTCATTGACTCGGTACCTTTTAATTAACGCCATTTCAACTGCAACAGGTGCCAAGCAAACAGTGGTAACTTCACTTTATATCTTTTTTATATATATTTTTTATATCTTAATGTAGTTAACTTAAATAATGCTACCAAAAGTTAAGATGAAGTCTAAAATAAAATAAAATTTTTTGCATAGTTGGAAGTGAATGAATGATTTTCTTAGTTTTTTTTTCACTAGTTAATATTATATTAAATATTATATGCTTATTAGACCACGTGTTCTGTTGCTTTGCTAATTTTTACTAGGTCTCTAAATGTTGTTAGTTATTTAATTGTTTATACAATATCACCATATGATGTCCATTTATTTGAGTTTTTGTACTACCTTTTTAATACCATTACAACTACATATCTTTTTTAAGGTAACTATTTAACATCTTCTTCATGAATGTGTGGTACTCATAATGTAAAAATTTTTAGATGAACTGATGATGCTATCAGAATTCGATAGCGAAACGTCTTCAAAATAGATGAAGTAGTATCAACTTTGTCTTTTATTTCTCCACCTAGTTGACCGACAATTGAACCCACCTCTCATCTGAGTGATCCTTATTTATATTGGATAGACGGTCGTACTCCTTTTTGCGATATATATATATATATATATATATATATATATATATATATATATATATATATATATATATAATGTTTCTTCTTTCCCAACCAAAGAAAAATAAATAAAAAGATCCATCGGAATAAAATTTTAAGATATCAGTATGAACAAATTGTATATAGTAATTTAAGATAAGATTTAGTGTAGATAAGAATAGAAATTGTTTTCCGTTTCCAACAAAATTATCAAAAAACCATGAAAAGGAGAAGATTGAAACAGTGGTATTTAAGGAAGAGATTGATGAAAAAGAGGAGAAAGAATGTGCGATAAATATGTGTCAAGAATCTGAGGAAAAAGAAAGAAAATTGACATGTGGAGAAGAAAAAGAAAATGAGATGCGTCTGATGTCAAAAGAACACGAAACTTTAATAAATGAGGAAAACAGAGTGGCAAAAAAGTACGAACATTTTTTTGAGGTAAAAAACTTGGGAAACTTTCGATCGAAGACTTACCCGATCCCATATAAATATCGGCAACAGGTGAAACAAGAAATTAATAAAATGTTGGAAGATCAAATAATTGAAAGATTATGGGAATTTATAATATCAACGATGTTTATAAATATTATGAATACAATACTGGTATTGTTTTTGCATAGAGAAAAATCCCTGCATAATTCACTAATTTTTATCATATGCAAAGGCGGGGATTTGTTATGTTTCTTCTTTCCCAACCAAAGAAAAATAAATAAAAAGATCCATCGGAATAAAATTTTAAGATATCAGTATAAACAAATTATACTGATATCTTACAATAAACAAACAAAACAAAAAAACCTTTGTTTAGAATTAGAAGACATTTTACCTGTAAGTTAATCTTTTCATTGTTTGTATAATCGAGTATTAAATTACCATATTCTAATCTTTTGAAATATGTATAAATTGTGTATTGACAAAACCAATTTTAAAGTAAGCTATTTAGTTTTTCTCTGAAACAGAAATTAGGCTTTTCCAAAATCATGAGAAACACAATTTGAGCTTTTGAATGGGAATTTGTGAGCCGATCAGGAGAACCGGAGAAGTTAGTCATAATTTGGTCATCGAAGGAAACAGTCGTTTGTCTCAAGATAGGGTGTGGTTCGTGAGTTGGATACCGGCATTGTGAAAAGAATTGAATAGTTTTGCAGAAGGAGATAACAAGTAGATTAAAAGAGGTCCTTGTATCTACCGTGGACATTTTGTGAAAATAGGTGAAAGTAGTTTTACGGCATCAAGTAGACAAACGGAAGTCCTTGTGTCATTAATAAGTAGCTAAGTTTTTGGAGAAGTGAATCAGCTGTTTTTGGTTAGTGCAGGAGGTTTGCAGATACGTTGGGATACTTCTCTTTCCAACGATATATCACACATTATAGTAGAAAATATCCATGGTTATAAAATTATTTGTTTCTTGAACCTCTTTACTCAACTTACTCTAAACTGGTCAATGGCGTAACCAGAATGACCTTAGGGGGTCAAATATCTCTGTATCCTTAGTTGATAAAAGATCCAAATTTTACAGTGGTCGTAGATAGATAATATCAAATTCTGGTAAAATTTTATTGAAACATATACAAAAACAAGTAAAATAAAAAATAAAATCTAAGAGTTTTCTTTTATATTTTTAAATAAATGTTTTTTACTCTTTACAAAAATCTACGCAGAACTAAACAATACATCTAGTTTCAAAATAAAAAAATAATTAGATCTCTAATTGCTTTGGTTACAGGGACATGTGATATAATGTTAACATTGTTGTTAAATGGGAGTTCGGATGCCCTTAAAGGCATTGGCTTTAAATTTTGTGCCTACACCCATCAAATTTAATTCTTTTCAGAAGAACATGAGACTTTGGACTCTCTATTGATTCATCTGAAGGAAAAAAACTGTTTAGTGGATGTCGTGCGTCACTCAGTACTGTACTGAATGACATTGGTTTTAAATGGCTCAAAGACGAGGACTGATGGAACAGTCTCATATTGCTGTGAACAGAGCTGAATTTTTGAGACTATATTAAAACTATAAACATGAAGGACTATATAAGTTTGCTTTTATAGATGAAACTTGAATTTTTTAGAATGGATCTATATGTCGCTCTTGGCAAGATGACAATAAAAGAAGTGTACGATCTATTAAAACTGATGGAAAACGGTAATAATATTTAATCATATTGAAAAAGTAAAGGTGTTAAAATAATTCTTTTTGTAGGTACATTATTCTTCATGCTGGTAATGAAAATGGCTTCATTAAGGGTGCAGAGGCTATATTTTCCTCTAAATCGGCTTTAATGGACTACCATGGGGAAATGAATCAAGAAAATTTTTTATTGTGATTTGAAAATCAATTATTAAAAAGTTTGACTGAACCATCCCTAATTATAATGGATAATGCTCCATACCATAACATGTTGTTGGAAAAAGCACCAAATACATCTTCAACTAAGAGTGACATAAAAGTTTGGTTAACTAACAAAAAACTATCTTTTAATGAGACAATGTTGAGAAACGAGGTTTTGCAGATTGTTGCGCAGTAAGTACCCCTAATAAGAGATTAGTTCAGGTTATCATATTTATTTTTAGAAACAAACCACCTCCAAAATACATTGTGGATGATTTAGCAGAACAATATGGCCATAAAATATTACGTCTGCCACCATACCACTGTATTTTCAATGCAATAGAATTAATATGGGGAACTGCCAAAACTTATTATAATAAACATGTTGGTAGAGATAACTATAAAGAATGTGATGCTTTAAACATGTGGAAAGAAGCTCTACAAACTATTACCCCTCAGAAATGGCAAAATTCTATTAGACATACAGAACATATAATTAAACAGTGGCATGAAAGAGAAAGTTTAATAGATAGAGAGGAGATTCTACCTATTATAATTAATATAAATGGCGACAGTGACTCCAGTAGCATCTTTGAGATGGACAGTGATTAGTAAGTAAAGCATCTTATAGCTCTTTGAGCATTAAAATTGAGATTCATTTTTTTTAGATTTAAACTGATGATTATACAAACCTTCTCGAAAACAACCATAAGATGGACGAGAGACATATAAGAAAGACTAAAATCTGAAAACAGAAGCATGAACTAGTGTGTAACTTTTAGGCACCACACTTTTTTACATTATTTACAAATTATATAAAACCATCGTAATCTACATATGGACTATCTAAGCTCTGGCGTCACAATGGATGAGGCTTAGAAAACCTTTCAAATTCCTGTGTGTTTGTCCCAGTAGCGGTTGGAAATATTTTTTGACAATTTATCAATAAAAATCAAAATAATTAAAAAAAGAAATAAGATTACAGCAATAATGCCCTCACAGCTATATTTATTGTTAAATAAAAAAATATTAAATACATTAGACCAGCCAGTTGATTCTGTTGATCAATATTTACATTTACATTATAGAATATCTACTAAGTTGTGATGAAATGGAGATAATTAAATTACTGGTTAACTTAAGATTTACATTTAATAATATAGAAAAAATAATAAAGTTTTGCTATCCAAATTTATCTTAATAGTCTTATGACAATTAGACTTAAGACTTAACTTAATGCTATTTATGTAAACAAAATGTGATATAATATACAGTTAAAAATATGATGAAATAATATGAAGTAATAAAATATTTTTGAATTCCTTTATCTTGTTAGTCACTAATCATCGGTGTCACAATTTTGCTTAATATTGAGACAAATAAAAATTTTCTAATAAAGTAATGTTTCTTGCCCAGGTCAAATCTTTTTCTACTATCAATGTAGTTACATCCTTCAATGTCCATATATACAAATAACAGTTTTGTTGTCTAAAATATGCAGGCATCCTTGAATTTGGTGGTAGTATTGTCCTGTTTAATAAGGATTCATCCTGATCATTACATGATATCAATTTATCTGAATTTTTCAGATTATTTAATTCATAGAGATTGTGGCCAATAGAAACCTACAAAAATAAAAATTTTAATAAATCATTCATATAACTTATTTCAATCATTTCCCATTGTCAAGTATTATGTTAGATGCCCTTCGTTTCTAATAAAAAATTACCATTTAGAGACATTAATGGCAATTAATGTTTTACAACTTCTCAAAGAGAACACCATAAACAGGTTTAGCAAATATTCAGGTGAAGATATCAGTTAAAATTATTTAAAAAGTCAGTTTTATTCGAGCTCTTAAAATCACTGATTTGTTTTTCTGTTGTGAAAATTTGATATATAACTAACAAATTATCACTTGGGATATAGATTAATAATTTTAGAGCTCTTGTGTAATTACTAATGATAATTTGTCATTTCTAAATGTTCTGAACACTTTATTTCTATGAGGCTTTTATCACCAATTAATCCATCTGGACTTGTTCCTAATAGGCCTGATTGTCAGCCAAATAGCAGTAGGCTGCATATTAAAATTTAGTATGTTTTCCTCCACAATAAATTTATTACCACCTAAATTATAAGCCCCTAAAACTGTTTGATTAAAAAAATATTGTATGAGCTAGATATGAAATATGAAAGGGTAACAAAATGTTGTGTTTATTATAAATAGTAGTGTATATTCTTAAAACTGGTCAACAATACAGTTAACCTGCACTACCATCATTATTATACATACATATATGCAAACAATTAATTGAAATATACTCTGATACAAAACCTCCAATGCCAAAAAAGAATTTAGGCATTGCATTTACTTGCACACAACAAAATAATATAAATACAGTACTTAAATTGTTCATCTTCACATAGGGAATATACATTGAGATAATTGTGGCAACTGCACTAACGAGTGTTTGATGAACCTTCTGTTGGAGTATGAGTTTCTGGTGCAATAGAGCTGTTAGACGAAATATAATGAGTGAGTTTGGAAGCAAGGCTGTCCATAAATAAATCAAAAACAAAGATTATGATTAAGAAGTTAATTTTACCTTAATGTTTAAAATATTTTTTATTTAAAAACTAATTATAAAATCAAACAGACACAGTTTTCATTGTTTAACCAAAAATATTTACTACATTGTTATGTTTTGACGTTTATTTGTGTCAGTAGAAATGAGTTGTCAATTTTGAGGTTTTGCCATCGAGCAAAAAGATAAAAGAGGGAATGTAAAGGTAGTGGGAACAAAAATATTGTTAGACAGGAAGTACTCTCTTGAGAGGCCACTTTAAACAAGGAAAGACAGTCTCTTTCCTTGTTTGAGAAGTCAAATTTAGTTTGGTTATGTTATTGTTTGTCCCAACTGTCACATGAAATATTATTTATATTGAAGTTTTTTACCAATTGTGTCACTTTTTAGACTATTATAGTTAATATTTAATTAAAACTTTCTCGTCTGAAAAATATTTTATAGCTATTGTTAATAAGTGTTGGAAAATTTAAATTTAGCGCCTTTGCATTTCCGGATATGTCCGCCATCAGAGGCCACTTTTTTGGTCTCCTTTTCATAACGATTAGATTCCCTCTTTTATCTTTTTGCTCGATGGGTTTTGCTCCTTAACTAACAACAATATTGTCATCGAGAGAGCGTAGTTGCCACAATCATCTCGATGTATATTTTCTATGTCCAGCTGAACGATTTTTTACTGTATAACATAGTGCATACCAATAAGTGTTTTAAATAAACTTTCTGAGTCCTTGTTTCACTTGAAATAGTGGAGTCAACATTACTAGATGTAATTCTATATTCTTTGGCAAGAAACCATTTTACATTAACTTGGAAAATCATTAACTTACCTCAACATTATGATTTGTCTCTCATACTTGCAAATACTTCTCCTGTAATGATTAGTAAAGCAATGTCAAACATTTTCTTTACATAATTGGATTTGATTAAAGGGCATTTTCACTGTTCCTTATAATTTTGTTGTCATTATTGAAAAACTCATAATACTGGATATCTTCAACAGATGTTTACTACCTCTATATGCCTAGATCTAAAAAATAAACTCAAAAACTATTACAAAATTCACATTTTTTTAAACACTCGCTGTTATGTCAATTTGAACCTTATACAGCTACAGAATGTTACATTACAAATTACAAGTAAAAGTCCTTATTCATTAAGTACTTAAACCAGGAGAAAACGTGTATCTTTAGTCTTTTAGGAGATAAAACGTCTGACCTAAAAAAGAATAAAACCTTAATTTAAAAATTTTGAAGTTAATGACTCTTATTTTAACTTAATAAATAAATTGACTGATTTCTTTTAAAATAACCCTGAGAAATACAACAACAAAATACAGTAAAAACTACTAAAAACAGGAGTTTTACTCAATAAGTAACATAACCTTAAAACAAGAACATACAGAGTAAATATCTTAATATTTTCATATTCTTACCTCACAAATGCAGGAACAACAAAATCGTAGACAATGAATGTTTCTAACCAAAGAGCCGTATTTACTCTTTAAACAATTTAAAATAACAATATTTCGGACGGGTTGTGCTAAAACTACGTCCAAAAACTACCAAACGGGCATGTTTAGAAGTTTGGATGGAAACGAAATGGAATAATCGATCTCTATCTAATCACTATCGATAAGAAAACCGAAATTTAAATAAGTCAGAAGAAAAAAGCATTTGAAAATTTAGTTGTACCAAAACATTTCAAAGTAAATAAGTAATGAAAAAAGTGTTGTTTTTGTTTAAGTATTCCATTTTACATTTTTATACGACGCATACAGGCGGCTCAAATTGTTTTTTACAAGATTATTTTTTAACTCTTGTTTTGTTTCTATTTATTTACATTAAATATTAATTTGTTTTGTTGTATAATCCACTTTTGCAATAATTATGGGTCGTATATTATACGTCATTGTATGTGACCTATTCGATTTAAAATGGATTCAGGATTTTTTTATACTTTGGCAACTATGTCAACTTCGATCTCTGACGTAGATAATGACGTAAGTCGTTATCTAAATTAGATGAAGTATATGTAGATTTAAAATTTTATTAGTATAAAAATTTCATTTATTTTCTTGTATGCTGATTGATAAGATAACGGCAGAATTTGATAATTGTTTTATTCGTTCATATAAAATAAAGAAACGTAAATTTTTGTAATATAATATTTTCTTTTATTATTATCCTTTTTCTCTATCCCGATAAAGGACAACTAGAAAATCTTTGAATCCATCGAACACAGGTAATATAAGGAGTTTATTTTACATTTGATAACAAATAAGTTATATTATTTTTATTGGCTCAATAGACTAAGATCAAAGTCAAATTAAACAATCATAACAATATATATATATATATATATATATATATATATATATATATATATATATATATATGTTATATGCATTGTACCAATAAATGTTCCTTATCACGACGATTCCCAGGGTATCAGGTGTCCACTTTCAACAACCTGAGCCGATAAGGATCCTTGCACATGCAGTACCAGCAGAGTCAGTGGGACCCAAGCTTTTTGCACTTTCCCACTGAGTCAGCAATTACAAATATTATAAAAAGAGTTGTCGCTCTTTATTTTCGTTCATTATATTTTTACATTTCATTCATTATAGAACAGAATTTCCTCTGAGCCCTCTTCTTGCTGTGAACTCTAAAAACCTGTATTATATAAAAGACGCATCAAATACGTTTAAATTACTTATCGATACCGGTGCTGGTATCTCTATCTTTAAAGAAAATACCGTGAAAATTTTCAAACCACGTTTTCCCGAACAAATTACTATACAGGCTATTACATACCAAAAAGAAACTAGAAGTAGAAACTAATTCGCGTAACAATGAAACCCCTAATCAAATTAAAATAGAACCCAGATCCGAAAAAAATATTCAAGTTCAAATGTCATCTGTCGAGTATAAATGCAATTTTGCACAAAAAAGACAAAGTCCATATCCCCAACGCGTTACAACACGTAAATGAAAAAGGAGAATTTCTGACATCCGTAGTAAACGCAAATGCAATTCCCAAAATTATTGATTTTTCTGATATAGTAATTGAACCTTATTCGAACTACCCTATCCTAAATTTCCAGTCGAACGATAACTTGAAAAATTATTGCTCTGATAAAATTGACCGTACCAACAAAATCAAATCTCGACTTCGAACAGAACATCTTAACGAAAAAGAACAAGAACTAGTTACAAATCTTGGCTTAAATTACGAAGACATATTTTACTTAGGAGGAGACAATCTCACTGGTACCAGTGAGATTAAACATCAAATTGAAACTAATAACGCCAAACCAATTTTTACGAAATCATACAGATATCCTCAGGTCCACAAAGAATAAGTTAAATTTCAAGTAACTAAGATGGTCAACGAAGGTATGATCCAGCCCTCTACTTCTCCTTGGTCATCTCCTGTTTGGGTTGTTCCCAAAAAAATGGACTCTTCTGGAGAACAAAAATGGAGAGTAGTAATAGAGTACCGCAAGCTCAACGAATGTACCATTGACGATAAATACCCTCTTCCTAATATCTCCGATCTCTTAGACCAGCTTGGAAAGTGCCAATATTTCACAACTCTCGATCTTGCCTCCGGGTTTCATCAGATCGAAATCGATCCCAAAGACATTCCTAAAACAGCCTTCCCCGTCGAAAACGGACACTATGAATTTACTCGTATGCCTTTTGGACTTAAAAATGCACCGTCCACATTCCAGCGTGTCATGGACAATATTTTTTTAGGTATTTTAAACGAACGATGTCCTGTCTATATGGACGACATTATAATATACTCTCCTACAATTTACGAGCACATTTCGAGTATTACTAAAGTCTTCAAACGTCTTCGAAAAGCTAATCTTAAAATCCAGCCTGATAAATGTGAATTTCTCAGGAAAGAGGTGGCGTATCTCGAACATCTCATTACCCAAATGGCGTCAAGCCTAACCCTTCAAAAGTCGATTGTATCCAACGGTTTCCTAAACCGAAAACACCAAAAGAAATAAAATCTTTCCTAGGTCT